CGGGGAGTCGCTCGCAGTGTGAGGTTACGGCGCTGCTGAAGCCGGTGTGTGGGACTGTTCGCCGCTGCTGGTGTCTGCGTGGTGTGAGGGTGGTGAGCTGTCTCTGTGTGGCTGTGGGTCTTTGTGCGTGAAGTAACAACATAAACAGTAAACTTACTACTAAAAGTAGTAAACGCAACATGCAGCTGACTCTAAAATAAGATGTAAGATTTACTTTTTTTTTGGTAGAAGGCTGCTTCTGCAGGTACCTGCTGCGTGTTTGTTGATGAGGGGTGTATTATGTGTATTTTTTTCGCGCCTTTTTGACAGTTCCTTATGGCCCCTCAGGGAGCAGCTGAGCTGTCCCCGTGTGCTGGCTCTGAGTCTTGATGTTTTGTGAGACTCTGAAATCTTGTCTGTTTCTAAAGTGTGCTTAAAAGCATTGTTTGTCAATGCAATTGCCACCGGTGCATTTTCCGGATACTTGCGTTATCTGCACTAATGCAACCTGAGAAACCTTTTAAGTAGGAGTCCCCACGTCTTCTGTGCATTCTTAACAGTATGTGCCTGCCGCTTTGTGACAGAGATAAGCTATTTCTCAAACCTGGTACAAGTTAATATAAAGTTAATTGTAATTCATTTACTTGAGGGTATCGCTATGCCCTAATTTCCTCCCTGTTATGTTTTACTGTAATTCCTGCCCTTCATAATGGTGGTAGAGAAATGTCATCAGAGGTAGCTTTTTTCAGAGAAAGTGTTTAATTGTTGAAAGCTGTTCAGTTATCTTTTTTTTTTTCATAAAAGCTCTGAAACATTTAATGGATAACACAGAAAAGATTGTTGGTGAGTCATTCAACTGTATGTATTTCCTGCCATGAAGTACAAATTAAAGCAGAATGGAGAATATTGCAATCAGAAATGCTGAAAACATGAACTTGTGCAGTCAAGTTTTGATTTCCTTTTTTCTTCCCTCCAGCTCTGCAGTAATACTAGGTAGAATGTGCTTAATATCACTGTGAACTTACCTGTTTATTACAATTTAGGTTTCTTCTTGTGACTAAAATCTTGTGCTATTGGCTCTGTTAAAATAACTGTCTCTGGGATTTTGAAAGGCAGTACTTCCTTTTGGGATCTGCCTGCATGTTGTCTTCGCAGGAAGGCCTTGTAATTTCAGGAAAGCAGAAGCAAGCATTCATATAAAGCTCTAAAATTATGTCAATCTAGAACTGGTGTATTTTTAGGAACCACTGCTTGTAGTTGGTAGGTATAGGTATTACCATAGAATGAAGAATCGGAGGCAAGAACATGCAGAAAACTTATACTGTGCCTTAAGGCAGGATCGAGGTGTGACTGGTCAATAATAGGGTTTTAAAGTAATGCTAGTTTGACTTTTTTGTTAGTGTCTTTAAAAGCTTATACATTAAGAATCAGTAAAAAGTTTCCTGGATTAGAGAGGAGATGGACTGCGACTCTTATGAGAAAAGCTCACCTCAGAGTGGGCAATGAAGTCCTGGTCCTGTTGAGAGCATCTGGTGTTGTACAAGTTGTGTCTGTGGATGACAGTGAGAACCTAGCGTATGCAAGAGGTGCCTCGACTTTGTCAGATGTGTTATCATGGGAGTTCTTGATGGCTAAATAAATCGAGATCTGACTACTCTTTTTTTTGCTAAATGATCTTGAACTTGTCTTTGGGACTGAACCACTGATGGTAAGGTGTAGGCTAGATGGCGATGTGCAATGTTTACTCTCTTGAAGATCCTGCCTGTAAGACCCTGCATAAAATGCTCATGATGGTTATCATGTTTGCATGTGCTAGCAGTTTCTGTGCCTGCTTGCTCCTTTTGTAGAGTTGAACCAAGGATAACAGTGGTCATAGATTTCCCTTTATTTTGAGCAAAGTGCTTTCCAAATGGAGGCAGGCTGAAGGACTAAGTCCTGCTGCATTAAAATGCACTAACCCTTGAGTTGGAAATGGCCTTGGAATGGTGGACTTCACAGAAAGCAGCCTGTAGGGTGGTTTGGGTGGAGCTGCCTTAAGGCTAAAGCTGAGGCGTGGAGAGCTGCCTGTCTGATGTGCACTGAGGATACAGCTGTTAATGTTAGTGTGAAACAGGGTCACAGTCCCCCATTTCTCTTTCAACCTGTTGTTAGGTGTCGGATACAGTGATGTTACATTGGAAATTTTTGTGGCACTTATGTAGTGTTTATGAAAATATATTTGTATTAATTAATGTATTTACTCATTCATGACGAAAGATCCATGTATTTGCACGTGCAGGATTTAACTGTCTAGTTTGGGGAATTAGTTAGCAATATTTATACAACTGTTAAATTTATTAACTATGTCCTTGTAGATATCTGTAAAACTACAGTTTTTTAAGAAAAAAACAATTATCTTTTTTGTTTAGGGTTGCACAGTGCTTAGGTTAATGAAACCTGGATGGTTAAACCATGAAGTTCATTGTCAGGGGTGATGTGGGTGCCAATGGTTTGCCTGTGTTAGAGCAGTGATTAGACAAAGTCAGGGCAAGAATATACCAAGGGCATTTTTTAAACACAAAACTTAAGATGTTTGGGGGCTACTTATAAGAGGAAGTTGGATAAATATAGCTGTATATTTGCCCTATTGCTGTCATTTTTTTCCTCAGCTTTATTATTAACCAGTGTTAGATACAGGAAATTGGGCTACTTGGGCCATTGGTCTGTCCTAGTACAGCTGTCCTTGTGTGCTGTAGTGGAGTTCCAGCATGCTTGGTGCATGCCAGAGGTATCTCTGGAACAAACAACTTCAGTTTATATCAAAGAATTAAATGTGCTGCTTTGTCAAAACTGACATGTCTTCTTTACATCTTTTAACTGAGGGAAAATGGTTGAGTGATGATGAAATAGATTTTTCGGTCTTTTCATTTGCTGTTAACACACTTCAGATATTTTAACTGGAATATTTCAATTGTCCTCAGACCCAAAGCTACGAAATATTTGGTAAATGTGAGGTAACGTCATTTGGAACTTGGTGTGGAGCGTCATCACTTGAAAATTGAACAGAAAAATTAATCTGCTTTAGATTAAAGTATTTAGTATATTGAGCATATGGCCAGCTTAACTTCACAGTGTTGTTTGTATCAGCAGGATGCTTTATTCAGCTTCAGAAGCCAAGATGTAGATTTACTTTGCCTGTGGTCCTTTGTATCTTTGCAAAGCACAATAAGTTCGTGCTTCCAGGGTTGTACAGTTCTTTTCAAGTGACTCTCTGGCCTTTTACATTCTCCTTACTAAAGCTGTAAATGGTTGAAATATCGCAGCCAGGAAGATCTGTCTCAAGGAATCTACTACGTGGTGTGGTGAAGAAGAGAAAGCTGGTAGGAGTTGTGCTAATATAGTGCTGCCTTTTACAAAATTACTGAAGGGAAAAATTCTGAACACCTTTCCCCCTTCCTCACCCTAAACTGCAGAAATTAAGTTTTCTTCTATTGAGATTGGCATAGTATGCATGTAGTCTAGTATGGATGTATTTTAGAAATGTACAGGCCAAGTTGATTTGTCATTTTGCCTTTTTTATGAGTATTGGGGATTGGTGACCATACTGTCTGGGTGAAAGCCTTATCCTGTGCATGTGGCAGTTCACTGTCCAGTATTATCTGTTTGCTTGAAGGTTTATAGTGGGTAGCTGAACTCCTTGAAATACTTTTCTTTGGGATAGGAGCTAAATTTCTGAAGTGCTGGGTGCTCTATCTTTTTGTCATGCCAAACTTTGTTTCGAGTATCTGGCAGTTTTCCTGCACAAAGCTTACTGCTGTAGCTAACAATGGTAACTTTATTTCATTTATATGTTGTTTATAATTCTTTAGAACAAATGTAATTTACTTCAAGATAGCTGCGTGACAGAGTTGGGTAACACAAATCCTGTCTGTTGATTATGGAAGTAGATTATTAATAGTTTTGTAAAGCAGTGCTGGCATATCTTTAAATATCAAGTGTTCTCTAGATGTGTGTGGTTGTTAGTTGAGTGCTTGTGGACATGTTAATCTTAAAATCATGAGAGTGTGTATATGTGTTTCATATCTGTGTGTGCAATGACAAGTCAAGCAAATTGTCTTATATGAGAAGCTAAACTATGCTTCTGGAGCAGCAAACTGAAATTTTTCTGCAGTGAGTAATAAAATGGTAGAGCCAAGAATTTCTTGAGGGCTTTGCTGTTAGCTTGCAACGACATTACAGCTTGTAGGACTATGCATTTTGTAAGACCAAAAAAACCCAACAGCCTTGCAGCACTGTCTGGGTTGAGGCTAAAGTGCGAAGGCTGAAATCAACTTTTGTTAATTTTTCAGGTCATCTCGTAATGGCAAAAAATGGAGCTGTCCATGTCATTGCTATGGAAGGATCTGATGATTTGTTTGTAGGCAATTGTAACAGCACGGGAGAGTCAGAAACAGATGATCGGGTTTTTCAGGTAAGGTATGAATTTCCTGCCTTTGTAGATGCTTCCGTTGCATCCTCTGTCGTGAATTTACAGTATGATGTTTTATCAATGTGCTTTTTCTTGCCTTCTATTTCCTGTATTACTATAGTAATAGATTGTGTCTTTTAAAAAAGTACAGAAGTTCCTTCCTTTGGATTCTTGTGCTATTCAGTTATGAACTGATGAATACCCAGAAGTTACATGTGATGGCAATCGTTAGTAATGATATTAATAGATCCTGTTATAGTGCAGAAAAAGTATGTTTTGTTAACAAAATCCTTTAATAAAAGAATACTCAATGGAGGAGGAGGAGTTCGGAACACCTGAAATTCACATCAAATTGCTTAGTGATTCTTATTCATCGCATTTGGTCAGGGACACAAGACATCTGTGTAGTTATGGGGAAGGGGAAGTCTTTAATGTATTTATTATCTAATATTGCCAGATAGTCCTAGTAAGAGAGATTTCTGTGCATGAATGTTCTTCTGCAGACTACTTCAGCTAACATAGAATACTATTCAGGTAGTGATTTAGTATTGTGCTTATGGTCTTTACTCAATGTATTTAACACAACTAATGCCATTTGTTTGTTTCTGCTTTTCTGGTGTAGTTTACAGTAGACAGTTTCAGCACAGAAGATCTATACCTGCAGAATTTTTGAGAAAGTTATTTGGCCCAGGTCTGACTTTTAACATAAAATTTAGAAACATTTTTCCCTACTCTTTGGATTTGCAGTTTACAAATTTTTGTAGCAGAAACATCAGAGTTATTTGTGTGATTGCTGCAAGAGATGCAACAAATTGCACACCTTGCATTGGCCAAATGACAGCCTGACATCTTATTTTACACAAGGGATGCCTATTTTCCATTATTTTCACATGTTTAATATTTGTATTTTCAGAATTTCAGCAAGACAGATATTTGTGCTTAAATATTTAAATTTAACAAAAATGGGACGTGCTGTAAGGACTTGATTCTGCAAGCTTGATGAATAAGCTCTGAGTACTTTTTTTTTGAGACTTGCAAAATCTGATTCTTGGACGTGGATTGGTGGGCTTGTGTTGCTTATGTTTCTTCTGTGGTAAAGAATTATGAAAGCATGTAGAGATTTTTGTCTTCATAGCTAAATGCATGTATCTAAAGGCCAAGTAGAATATCATCTAGGACTTCTTTCAAAGTCAAATGAAGTTGGTGGATGTTTTACAGTTTTGCTTTTGGTATGAGTTGTCTCAGTTTCTGGGTAGACTTGAGACATTTTACAGCAGTGAGTAGCTTTGGGAAACAGATTTTGGGCACAAGGGATTTTCTTTCCCCTTAGTAGAGAGTTTGTACTAAGCAGCAGAAATATGAATAGATTTTCAGCATTGAAATGGAAAACAAAAGTAGAACTGCTTGTGTTAGCTAGTAGCTTCTTGACCAGAGGGACAAGAGCTCCTTCTGAGCTGACAGCTTTGGTTTTTTTTTTTGTTTTAAATGTTCTGTTCTTCTTTCTTTCTTCTTTTTTTTTTAAAGAGAAATTGCTACTCAAGATTAAAGTACATTTTACTGGTTTTCCTCTGTGAAAGCATCTAACCTGCATGGATTCCAGGGATCTGTTGTTTGGACAGAGTGACTCTCCCTCAGCCTTGCCCATCTCAGTACGTCTCTTGGGCAGTTCTCCATCATTGGCTGTGCCTGCATGGCCACCCCAACTGCAGCCTCACTCCACAGAGGAGCTCTACCTGGCAGATCAAACCAGGCAGCCACTAGGAGGGCCCAGTGTGCAGATGGTGAGTGTCTGGAACAGGGGAGGTGGTGTCCTCATGCATGAGGGAGCTCTTCGAAGAACTCTTTTATGTGGTGCTTGTTTGTTGCAGCAAGAGCTGACTCAGACTTTAGCAACAAGGTGAAACTTTTCAGTGGTTCAATTCATGCTGCAGTTGCCCTTCCTCAGGTAGGCAAATCCTGTCTCCAGCCATTACTAATTTTATTAAACAGCAACATATGTCTTTTGTCATTATCAAGCCTGGATGGTGCTATGTGATGAGATCTCATACATTTACCACTACTCCTTTCCCCATATTCCCTGGATAAGTCTCTGTGGTTTCTGGGGGGATTGGAGCATTAGGAATAGGCTAACTTATTATGTCTCTTTTTTCTCTCCAACCTCCTCCCCCCCAATTAATTTGCTTAAAGCATCACTTTGTAATTCTTAACACTTATTTTATAAAAAGGTAATTCCCTCACCCAGAGGGTTTGGTTGCCATTTAAAGTGTAATAAATCAGGAACAAGATGATATTTTATGTTATTCTAGGTTTCATAATGTTGGGAACAAGTCCTTGGTAATTATGGGAAAATTTACCATAAGCAGTTGTTTAAGTTTTCCAGAATTCTAGGAGATTTAATTTACATTTTTTTAAAAGTCCTGTAGCTTTTCTTTTATCTGCTTTTGCATAAAATGCTACCCACAGAGGTCAGTTTCTTAGGAGTAAAGGTCAAAATTTTTACGTTGCAATTTATTCTGCTAGTTCATAAATGGGGTTACAGTGAATCAAACTATGAATGGCTTTCAGGTTTTTGATAGCTTTAATAATAGCATTGTAAGTTTCAAATAAATGTGTAATACATTGCAGAATACCTAAAGTTATTTTTTCCCTCTCCTTTAATCGATTAAAAGACTATTTTAAAAAGGGGAAAGTAATTTTAAGGAATTGACAATAAATAGGCAGTTTCCTTATTACATGAAATCAAGTTAATTTACAGGCCATAAATGCAACCAAAGTCTTTCCAGTTTTGCTTTATTAAGCAAACCCAGTCATGCTGTGTGATAATTGCCATACAAACTGGTGCGGTTCATGCTTTTTTGTGATTGCCTTACAGATGATTGTTGCCAGCCAGTCAGAAAATGGGCAGGTGCTGCATGTCATTCCTTCTGCCCAGCCAGGAATGGCCCAAGTGATTATTCCTCAAGGTCAACTTCTGGATGTGACCAGCACGCAGGGTGAGTTTAACTTGTAGGACTTGAGGGTGTGTGATCCTGTGACTAAGCATATCTCTTTTTAAGAGCCTTGTTTGTGTGTGTTTCCTTTCCTTAGTTGTAAGACAAAATTATATATTTACTGAATCTGCTTTCTGATTATGAATCTGGCACCTCACGCATGACGTTTTCTGTTGAACTTTGTTTGCCTTAAGAGCTATTATGCTTACTTTAGATGTGTGATGGATAAATGGAGTTATAAAGCACAAAGATGCTTCTTGCCTTATTTACCATTAATAAGGATATTTGTGCCAAGTCAGACAGCTGCACTATCAGTTTTAAATTTTTACAGTTTCCTCCTTTTTGAGTGAAGTAGTTAATTCATGTAATGCAGATAGAAGAATTGGTGTTCTTCTAGTCTGTTCCAGAGTCACTGGTCTTGATGCATCTTTGGCAAAGCCAGGAATGAAGTACCTAGGTAAAAATTCAGTTCCCAGTGAAGAAAATGATATGTAGCTTTCACTTCGTTGCTAATTTTTTTCCCTCAATGTGTTAACTGTCACATTTTAAGTACATGGTGAGATGCTAGAAGCATGAATTTCCTCTAGAAAAGGGACATACTGAAGTCTGAAAGTATTAATTATTTATCTGCAACCCTTGCTGAGTGGCAAAATGTTGTGTACTAGTTTGCCTTCACAGAATAAGGCCTGAGAACTGGATTGTCACATTTTGTTAAATGCCAAGGTTTTTTAAACTGTTGTTGCATTTTCTGTATAAAATTCGCAATCTGAGTGCTAGTTAAGTGCTCCTCTGGAATGAGAGCTCAAAGGTAAGACTAGAGCCATGGTACCAGGTAGACAGAAAAAAAGAGTTGGGATTCAAGTCATGATCCTGCCTTTTTCACTTACAAGTGGAATATGGTTTTGTGAACCTTGCATTGAAAGGCTTGGTTCTACCCTAATGTTCATCCTTCCCTCTTCACCTGCACTTGCAGGGTAAAACCACTGTTTGGTTACAGTGTAGTCTTAAATGACTTTAAGCTGACTGTGAGCCTTCAGTTGCTAAAGAACTGCTGCTACTTTTTTGTAGGCAATAGAGTGCAATGCTGAACAATACTTTTCTATTCCAATTTTTCAGCCTCTGTGTTTACAAATAGCACAATATTTGTTATATATAAGAGTATATATATGTTCTGCAACAGTGCTAGAGGGGTTTTTTTGGGTGTTTTTTTTGTGGTCGTCCCGTCCCCCCCCCGAAACTTACTGTGTAAAACATTCTGTATTTATTTGAACTTTAAAAGACAGTTATCGTGACTTGTCAGTGGTTTACTATGGAGATTAAAGAGGAAAGAGAATGGTCTGCCAACCTTTGAGTTTCAGTTGCCCTGAAGGTGGTGGTAATGCATGAAATGGCACAGGCTTCAGAGCAGACCTTAGTGTCTTAAGGACATGTACATAGAAGAAACCAGTGCTATGAGCTTTGAGCCAGAGTGGTGTTACTCTGAGGCACACACTTACAAATCTTCTGGGACAAGCTTTCTAGTGGAGTGTTTTCTGTACTGAGTCAATGGTTTATCATTCTCTTTTGGGATTGGAGAAGGAAGGTTCCATAACTGAAGGGCAAAAATCCCACAACTAAAGAGAGCTCCCTATTCTTTATGTTGAGACCAAAATATCAAATGTCTGCTTTCATGGTTTTTCATTGTGTTTTTGTTTAACCATACACACAGGCTTGAATCTAACAGTATTTTTTGGCTTGTGGATCGTTCCCTATTACCAAGAAAGCCTAAAAGATTTGTTCTAACAGCATGTCAGATTCAATTACAAGATGCCTATTTTTTCCTGCTTGTTTTTTTCCGAAGTACAAAGCAGTATCGTAATCTCCTTTTTCTTTATTTTAAAAGCAACCAGTGTGTGATTTGAAACTGAACAAAGCGGTTGTGCAATCCCAAATGGATTTGTGGAAATGTGAAGTGGAGTAATTTCTGGGTTCTTCTGATTATTTGCTTTGTTGTGCAAGGATTCATTAGCAGTAGCATGATTACCAAAGTTCTTGAGTACAAACAACCTTATCAAGTGTATCTTCATATATTTGCCTAGAGTTTGAGTGTAGATTCACAACTGTTAAACTACTTTATAATCTAGAAATCTAATGTCATATGTCAAAATGCTTGCTTTTTGCAAGTTACAAAGTTTATTCATAGCTTGTTGTTTCTCCATTCTGAGTTCGGTTATTAACCAGGAGACTTTTATTTTTGCAAAGATGTTTCAGAAGAGAAGTGTGGTGATGGGAACTTGCAGACTGTGGCAGTGGCTGCTGTAGCAGATAGTGCAAGCAGTTACATTCTACATCCACAGGCATCTCCCACCATACCAAAAAAACCAGCCACCAGGTGGGTCAAGAGTTAAAAGGATGAACAATAATTTTGATCGTTAGTACTGCCTCTTTTTTCTTGCAGTTTGTTTTTGCAATGGTTATCACAAAATTACTGTAGAATGGAAGTTATGAACCCTTAGTACTAGTGAATGCCGTGTAGATAACTGTGTTTGCAGGCAGCTTCTGTATGTGCCAGAGCAGTGGAAAAAGCAATTCAAGTACCTGTATTCCAGAGACAGCTGGATATATTCTGACCAGAGCAATAGGTGGGCATTTAAAGTAGCACAGTGCAAATTGAAATTACTGAAAACAGACACTGATTCTGCCAACCAAGAGTTGAAAGTAATCCAGTGAAGGAACTGCAGGGAAAGTTGAAGTTTGACGGACCAAAGTTTCTTGTACTAGTATATTAAAACCCATATAAAGCATCCTCTCACAAGAAGGGTTGATTGTAGAGATTAGTTTTTTTAGATAGTTTTCAATAGTTTGCATTAACAAGGAGTGCCAAATTTTTATTCTCTGGATGACTTACTTTCTTAGAATATAAGAAAGTAGCTGCTAATGCTGTGTTTCAGTGGAACATGTAGATAAGCAGATGGGTTAGATAGCACAATTTCTAAAGTTAAAATAGTTGTTAGGTTTTTCTTCTCTTTATCAACCTGATTATGTCCCTGTGCTAAGTGGTGTGTACTGTTTTAATTCCTAAATACTCTGGGATTCTTTTTTGCCTTAAAAAACCCCAAACAAACAACCAAAACCCAAACAAAACCAGCAAAACAAAACCAGTAACAAAATGAAAGAAGATGTTTGCTCTGTGGACCGCAGGCTGGCTTTGCATTGGTTTATACTCTTGAAATCAAGATGTAGAAGAGATTAGAATAATCTCACTACAGCACATATTATATATATTCAGAAAACATTTAAACTTAAGAGAAACTGTTTGTGAATGGGTTTTGTGAACACAGTCTGTGCATGTTAGAATAATAATCCTGGAAAGGAGACACATTTGTATGATGTGCTTGAGGTTTGGAATAATAAACGTTGAGTAAGCATTGTTTCTGCTCCAGGATTTAAGGAATAGAGAAACCAGATACTTACTCAAAATAGTTCTTGGAGCTGGTTTTCAGTTATTTAAAAATATACTTAAATGTGCAGCATTTAACAAGTGTTTGATGTTGGTTTTAATCTTTACCATTCTACCGTCAGTCTGCATAAGAAAATTACCAAGACAATCAAGTGGTCTGTTTCACCATGCTTTGTTTCCTGTTGTCAAGAAATGCTACTGAGAATATTGAATGCTCAGAGGTCTTCTTGAATGTAGAAAACTGTGTGGTTTTAAAATACTTGTATTTACTATGAATTATTTTAACAATTAAATAGAATATGGGGAAAATTAATCCCAGGTTTTTAAGGCAAGTTGATACAATATCTATAGTTTTATCGTATGCCGTAGGGTTATACATAATGCACTGATTTGTTATGTTACCTGTAGTATAGATGAAATTGTCTGTATGATGTCTACTGTATTTTTTTATTTTTCAGGGTAGTGGAAGATCCTTTCTTCATCCCTCTCCAGCCATTGCTGTCAAATACGCCTGCATGGGCACGCCGTCTCAGGAACTGCGAGGTGGGCTGCGAAGAATTCTGACTTGATGTTTTATCATCTAGATCTAAGATATTGATCCTATTCCTTGGAAGGAATAATGTTCATAGTTGTGAAAGTGGTGATCCAGCTTCCTGGTATTATAAAATAGTGCTGGTACTAGCTGGTACTACTCGCACATTTAAACGCATAAAATGCTATGGAATCCCTTCCTATTTTGGGAAAGCTAGAATAACTGACCATCAACAGCTCCTGAAGCAAAAAATGTGCTTCTGAAATATCAATGCCATACAGCGCTGGGAAAAGCCATTCTGTGCCATGTTAGAGTTCACTCTTGAGCTACGGTGCAAGCTCTGCTGCCTTCTGCTGAACAAACTGGTTTTTGTTGCCCTTTGTGATCCATTGATTAAAGAATAAAATTGCTTTTGTATGGCCTAAGTCTGCAACTCTTTGTATTACTTTGTGTTGTCACTTAAAAATCACAATTTGTGTGGCTTGCCAGGGTCAAGTCTGAGATTTACCAGAGCACATTAATGCCAGTGTTTTACTAAGGATTTCTATTTTAGATATTCTCACAGATTTTATTTTTTTTTAACCAGCATGGTTACCTGTGCTTGTTTTCTCCTTTGTTAAAAAACGCTCTGTCTTTATTCCCTGTGATGGCTTTTGACCTAAACAGAACTTTCTCTTTATTTGCATATTGTTAGATGTCTGCAGAACTGTCCTGATGACTGGGGTGATATCAACAGCTAGAATGCATCATAAATCTCTTGAAAGGAAGGGAGGGGAGATGGGAAGATTCTTGTGAGATCATCTTCCTCCTGCTAACAAATTCTTCCTAATACATGTTTATTTTACTTTCTCATAATACTGTTTTAAAGGAAAACTCATATTCTCTCTAGCTGGCTCACCTCTTTAGATATCCCTTGCTCTTGAGGTTTTCCTGTTGGTTTGGCCACTGATAATTGGAAATTGCAGTTGCAAGGACTTAGAAATTTTATTTCTTTCTGTATCCACTAAGAAATATTTTTTAAATTAAGTAAATACATTAATCTGTTCCTCTTCATTATATGCCTTTTATTTCATACAAATGGTACTGTCCACTATTACATCCACTTAAACATTTAGAGGTCAGAAAATCAGTAACACAAATTCTTCCATGGTGGAGATACTGTTTTCACAGAACGACTCGTTTAAATCAAATGTCCAGTCAGTTGTTGAAGCCCAGTAAGATGTATAGCCCTTATTACTGTGTTTTTAGCACTATGTGGACATACTTTCGTATCTTAACTTTTATTTATCTTAACATTATCTGAAGCATTTCTTATTGGTTCCTTTTTATAGGAGGACTTGTATTATGGTTTGCTTGGTCTACCTGAGTCTAAAAGAAGTTTCACCTATTTTTAAAATTCACATCAGCAGCTGCATTTATACAAAAGTTCTCATTTTTAAAGAAGAATAAATCAAAATATTGTCAGTTTGAATGTCTTCTGTGGATAGAAACATATGCCTCTGCTGTTCAGCAGAGCTATTGCCTGTATGCATTCATCTTCCCTGTTCCTTCAAACAAAAAAATGTTGCTGTTCTCCCTGCAGAATCAGCTTGTCCAAGGAGGAATAACCCAAATTCCCTTCCTCCTTGTGTGTTACCAGCAAAGCTGCTGTGCTGAGATTGTCAGTTACACAATGTAAATCCACTGAGGCCTTCTAAGATGCACGTGCCTTTTCATGGGCACAGACAAGACAGTGGGATTTTGAGGTGCCATTTATCTTTAAGGTGTGACTGTCTTGCAAAATCTTTTATACTAGTAAGAGGACTGAAGAGTCCGACTGGAATTTGGATATCTAGCAGAGGTGCAGATAAATACAGCAACGCACAATTCCACTCTTTCAGTCACTTGCCAGAATGGAAACAAAGTTAAACAGCATGGAGGTCTGTGTGAATTTCACAGGAGATGCCAGCAGGTGAAGCCAGGTCATATCCTGGGTCCGTGCTGTGATTGCATATTCCAGGGAGCTGGCCAGGACTGAACTCCAAAGGGCAATGACTGCTTTGGCAGTTGGTACTGCATGCCAACACAGAACAGGAAAAGCTGCAGCTGTTCAAAATTAGCAGTAAGCTCTGTGTTTGATGTGGATTCCCTGACTGCCTTGAAATGTTCAGCTTGCACTTGCTGTGCCTAGACAGTGTAATGCCTCTGGTATCCTGCTGCTGATAGTTCACTCAGGGCAAACTGCAGCCTTGATGTGTGTACTTCAGTGTAAGCTTTTCTGCACCCTTGCTGAGATGAGGCCAGAGGGAGACAAGGATTTGCTTCTTTTTTTGGCTTGAAGCTTGGCTGAAGTTAAAGGGTTGGAGAGTATCTGATTACTTCCAGGAAATTACATTGTTAATAAATGTTGATTAAAAAAAAAGAAGCTATTTTCTATAACCTACTTAGTTTTCAGTGGTCTGATCAGAATGCATTTCCAGTGTGTATCAACATACTGAATTAAGAGTACAATTAAAAACTGCATTAATTAATCAACTGTACAAAGCAAAGTTCATTTGTTAGTGTGGATCAGATTGGACCATTTGTTACTGCTTGGGAAGTTCCTGGAGAGCAGCGATCCTATGTGCTGTATGACTTTCTTTTCCTCCTCTTCCCCTCCCACCAATTTTGGAAAAATGATCTATCTTGTGGAGAAGTAAAGCTGGTAAGCCCAGGGCTTTAATGGCTATCACTACCTTTCTAGCACAACAGTTCTATCAGTCTTTTTTAATCTCCCTAAAATAAGGTAAATGACCTATTTATAGTGTCAGGCGTAAAATACGGAAAGAAAAATGCTGCTCACACCATATTCCCTGTGTGGAATGGTAATCCTTCTTGCGAAAGAGGGCATCCCAGTTTCTTTAAAGAAGGTACTTCTGTTACTTCTCAGGCAACTTTGCTTCTCCTGGATTTTTCAGATCAAGTTCTGGACAGAAATGTGTAATTTCTGGCTGAATAATTACCAGCTTCTCTTCCTTACCACAGCTGTGTGAGTGCAGCTGATGTAGACTTTCTCAACTGCTGGAGCAGTGTGCTTGCAGTGCACTGAGCTGCTGAAGTCTAAGCAGCTGGTATCTCAGAAAGACTCATGCAGCTGGTGCATATGTAACCCTGTGCTTTTCGTCTTGTGCTAGCAGCAGCACTGTGCTGGCCCAGTCCATTCACAAGGTGTCTGTTTGTTCTTTGTTGACTTTGGGTCTTGCTAACCACAGACATTTTGTTTTTCTTTGGTTATTATGAGGCAGGTTTTATGCAGTTGTCACTGAAGTGTTTGTGAGATAACAGTCTTGGAGAGACACTGTTGCTGATTTTGTAGTCAGTATTATTTAAACATGTGGCTGCTCTGTCACTGGAGGCAGCAAAATAGATCCATCAGACATTAATACTCATTTGCCATGTGTTTGCCTCTCAGATATGCTGTAAGGCTGAGCTGGCAAACTACTCTGGGTGTTACTTCCAGCTGCTTGATCAACCTGAACCTGAGTTGCGTATGAACAGAAGCAAGCATGGTGTTCTGAATTTGGATGGAAAGCTCTTCTCTGTCCCAGAGCTTTCACTGCTTTGCTGTCTGGTCCTGGTACACCAGTGCTGAACCAGCTGTGATGGCACTGAGTAGCTGAACAGCTGCCACAGGGGATGTTGCAAAGTCAACAGTTGTTTGGGGTTTCTTTGGGGTTTTTTTTGTTTGTCTGTTTTTAAATTTGAGTCAGGTTAGATAGTTTTTCTGCAGTTGCCCTGAGCTTAGTAGAGTTCATTGAAACCGTCATCAGTTTGCACCTGGCAGATCTGGTATGTTATGTTTCTGTGTTATGTTGAGTGTCAAGAATGCCTTGAAGACTGGGAGGGGTTTTCTGTGAGACATTCAATTCAACTCAAGGTTAATGCACTAAAAGGATGAGGTGGTTACTGGTGGTACTGGCAGGTGTATTCTGCTCCAGCTCAGTGCAGCGTGTGCGTGTTGAAGCAGATGCATAGACAACTTTTAATGCTTCAGAGATTTTCTGTGGGAGCCAAGTGAAAATGTTTGTCTAAGACAAATCTGTCTAGGAGGTGACTGCAACTGAAGTGTATGTCTGGAGAAACAAAAGGAGTGAAGTTGTCCTATGGAAATCAGAGTTGGCAGTAACTATTATATTTTCAGGGGTTCTTGGTGTCCTTAGAATCTTGGAGGACTCATGAACTCCTGACTTCAGAGGGACTGCTCTGGTATTAGATCCTATGGTAAATCTATTTGTGAGGATATTAGTGTGGGGAAAAAACCCATGAAATGCCAAAAATCTGAACCTGTGTCCTCCCTTGCCAGAGTCCCTGACTGCTTTTATTTTCTTGTGTAATGTTCAGCAGTCAGCTCAGTGAATAATACTATTATTTCACCTCCTTTCCATGCAGAAAATTGGGGACTCGTACCGCGGCTATTGCATGAGCGAGACAGAATTAGAGTGTGTTCTAACGCTACACAAGCAGCAAACACAAAGTGTGTGGGGGACACGCCAGTCTCCAAGCCCAGCCAAACCTGCCACACGGTTGATGTGGAAATCTCAGTATGTCCCATATGATGGGATCCCCTTTGTCAATGCAGGTAACTAACTTCTATTTTAGTAACTACTTTCAAAATTTCAACCTCAGTTGCCAACTGCCCATAAAGAAGGATCTTTATGGTGTTCCTTACTGTTGATAAAGTCAAGGCGCAAACATTAAAAAAAGAAGCAGCTTGGGCACCTCTGTGACACAGCCTGAATGAGCTTGTTTCCTGAAACCACAGGCATGTTTGTTGTGATTGTTTGGTTGTGATTATTTCCTTTTGTTCTTTTTTCCAAAATGCATATAGAGAGGTCTTTAGTTTCTTGTGACATCTACCTGATGAGTTGCCCCACAGTAAAATATTTAGAACAAAACCACACATAGGTTATTTTTTTTTCTGTGAAGTGTTGTAGACTAATAGAGACTCATTCTTAAGCGGTAACATTTTTTCTTTGTTCAGACATCCAAACAGGCATTATGTGTATTTCTAACATATTATCTTTCAAATTGTTCTTTAGAAATAAATCAGTTAAGTACCATTTGATGGGGGTTCTTGTGACGAGATCGTTAGATGGAGGCTCCATCTGCTCTATCAGTATAGGAAAGTTCTCATAAGGGTAAGAGCTTGTTTGAGTATTCTTGGAGATCCTTTGAAGAGTTTGTTCCACAGGACCCCATAAACTATTTAAATAGCACCCTTTAAAAAAATTAAATGCATTATAAAAAGCAAAATAAACATCACCATATATCTTGGAAGACAGAATTATTTTTAAATGAAAGTGCAGACTTCACAGATTGGTAATTACATATTTAGCTCATGCAATGCATATGTTGAATTACTGAGAGTTCATTCAGATATGAAATTAACAGGTTTTAATTGTTACATAGAGATAATGAATGGCTGGCATGTAGGTTATTTGCTTGGTTTTTCTTTTCGTTAAAGTAGCTGAAAAAGTGGCATGTTAGCACCAGTTTTAAAGCTTCAGCCGTAACTGTGAGGTGTAAGAAAGCTAAGAACAAAGCCAAAACAACTTGCACTTTTTTTTTTTCCCAAAATGCATATAGAGAGGTCTTTAGTTTC